CAGTAACGAAGTATCACCATTACACAGTGGCGCAGTACCATAGTAACGCCATCGCACGTGGCGCAGGGAGCAGAGACTCGCACCGAACAGCTGACTCCGGGATCGATCGCGGGAGACAAGCGTGTATACACGCGTGGGTTCGGTTCGGGAACTCCCGACTGCCTGTTGTACAAACGGAGCATAGATCGAGAGACAGGTGCAGCAACACGCTCATCACATTAAATACCGGGGGCTAACTCACCGTAAACAGCTCACAGTCGCGTTGCCTTCCTCAAACTTCACCTTCGGTGTTCAGGTGCAGCCTTGCTGTTGGCTGATGTATAAAGTGGCGAGGCGAGATGTGTGGCTTAGGTGTAATGCAGAGATCATTCCTTTAGACGGAGGAGGTGAAACAGGCATCCCTTCAGGCAAAAGAGAAAGAGGCCTCGACATCGGATCGAGGCCGCACCAGGATGCACGAATCAAGGTCTCGAGAAGTCGCTTGGGAATCAGGTTAAAGTGGCTTGATCATAGTTCCCGTGATTATCAGTGAAGGCTGCATTGCTAGTAATTGAGCGGACCCTACCTCTCAACAACCGCGGAGGATCTCAAACTGAGCCGATGGAGAACAGGAGTACGCGGTTACCGGGTCGATGAGGCGAGGCATTCACCATCTCGGTGAGCACCTTGAGCCTGCGTAATCAAGTAAGGCGGAAACAACAGTGAAAACATTGCACTAGGCTTACAGGAATTCTGTTCGTTGACGACGCGATGTTTATAGATTCAGAACAAAGGGTAATGAACCATTCTTTTGCTCAGTTCATTGACAAAGGTTTGCCACACGTTGATACAAAATTGCCACGGTGTATCACCAAGAAACGAGGTCCAATAGAGGCTGCAAATGGGTGCGATTCATGATGATGAAGATTCGTGATGCAGTTTTGTGTCATACATGGCTACTCTCGAATAATCGTGACGTACAGGGAACGTTTGCGTCACTGGCCATCGGTACACAGATTCAGATGTCATTTGATGTTTGTTGTCTCAAAAGTATGATCCATGCACCATTTTTTCTATTCGGTCCAATGGCAAGGTTCCCGTCATATATTGACACAAAATTGCATTGGTGGATAAGTAACAAACGAAATGCAATAGAAGCCGTAAACAGACAACAAATAAGGAATTCATAATCCCATTTGGTTTCTACATATTGGCGTCCTTGAACCGTCATGAGGCACAGGAAACGCTTGCGCTGCTGGCCGTTGACACACCCAAAGTGGGTGCCTGGTTCACATGCGTACTGTTTACAAGCGTGTGGTTCCCACCGGGGTAGCACTCACCCGAAAGGCGGCTAGCGACTAATGGGCGCAGCTGGCCTCCGGAGATGGTCAGCACCAGGATTCAGTACAGAGCGTTAGTGACGACAGAGGGGTGGATGGAGTTGGAAGATCGCCTTGGGTTCGTCCAGGTCAGAGCGTTTTCGGGTAGCAATGACCGTTTGAAGGGAATGTGTCACATTTCAGGGTAGTGAAGCAAACATCAGATATAACGAAACAAGCTCACTCACAACTATTGGTATACTTTTTAAGTGGAAAACACTGCTCTAAACAACACAATACTCTGTTCAGTAAAAATGCTCTTCAATGCGCCATGGTTTGATAACGTTATCGTACCTTGCACAACATTGATTGAGAACCAATTGACTGACCGTTATATCTGGAAATCGCCCCCACGAACGCCAGATATGAGCGCCTCGACAATTCTTTTTTTGTCCTTATTGTCGCATGGCTTATGGAGTGACATGATTTGAACGGCGTTAGCATAACGTCGTGAATGCCAAGGTGACTGAAATACTCTCCCCGATATACCTTTACCCACTGCCACGGGCGGGTAGCTCAAAAACTAGAGGAGCTTATGTGTTAAGAAGGGCAGGGTTGTGAACTGCACCGAGAGGTCTTTAAGATAGCCATTTGAGTTCAAAATCCCATACAAATGTGGAACACTCGCTTTGAGCGCAATTGGAGGGCGGTGAGAGACGGTGCGATACTACATCCATCTGGCGAACTGCGCCACCCAGCCTGGCTCCACCCAGGCGCTCGTGTTTGGCTGATGTGCCGGCACCCGGGCAGGGCTCCTGTCCGAAAGGTACCGGCAAGTGGCTGGCGGCCGCGCTGAGCCCGCAGGGACGGCGCCCTGCGAGGATCCAGAATGAAACGGCGAGGGAGGTAAGAAGGGTGGACGAAGATTGGAAGCATGCAGAGAAGACGACATTTTTGTCGACATTTAGGTTATGTAACCTGTATGTCCGATTCATTATCGGATGTGAAGGGTTTCTTGAAGCCTACATTTTAGGCGGCATAATTGTCTAAGGTTTTTGCCATCAAAAGATGATGACAACTGAGGCGAAATGAGATTAAAGTGTGCCTGACTGTCCTCATATCGAAATGGGTCATTCAAAGTTGCTTGACGGACAATTCAGCACGTGATTGCCTCAAATTTCCCAGAATCAAATGGTCAAAATTGCCTACAATTTGACAGATATCTTCGAACCATCTCCACATCTTCGGCCAAAGACATACTTTAAAAGAGATGCGTTTATCGTTTCAGCTGTAATTGGTATAATTTTTATCAATGTGCGTGTGTGTACCATGAGACAACATTTTCAGCCCCCACCTAGTTACCTGTTGCCCAAGGTGCGCGCTGGTAGTAGACCATCATTCGGTGATAGAAGGATAAGATAACATGAGTGCAGGACGACGTTGAGACCCAACAGGAATGATACGGTTACAAAATCATTTCCTGAAGCAATTCACTGACGTTAATAATACTTAAACGTTGCTGATCCGATGCTATATGGTGCTGATGAGCTGACGGGTGTCATCGGTGTAGGACTGACACGCACCCAGGTGGCCAGGCTCCTAGGTCATGACCTTGGGGTCAAATAAAGTCGAACAAGGTCAAACTCCAGATTGGTGTCTCAAGTGCTCCAGGCCTCCCTATAGAGCCGCCGTGAGGCCAGATACCTGTTCTAAGCAAAAGGTCAATGAGGTCAGTAATCTTTCTTGACGTTTATAAGGAAGAGGTGAGCAAATATCTGCAAGATTGCTCCTGTTTGCCATTCGAACAAGCGTCAGGGATTACATTAGGTGGTATGTTCCTAACAGCAAAACGTTGAGCTGGATCGTTGTAGGTTAGTAGACTTCTCTGACCTTTACAACATCCATGGAGCATGGCTGTTGTAGTCTCTGTCACTCATTCTTTCAAGCCCAGCACCAGAAACTGCCTTATAAGACCAAGCTCTATAAGACCAAGAGCTCCTATAAGACCATAAGAAACTGCCCTATAAGACCAAGCTCTTGAGTAAAAGGCAGGTTGGTTTTAGCCTCGTTCTGGTCTTCATTCCTGAGCCTAGGTCAATGAAAGTGGTTGAAATTCTAAATTCAATTGGTCTATTGCCTAAGAAACAATCTCAGATATACTTGGTTTCGTCTAGCGCTCCGTTGTTCCATCAAGGTGAGCGATTCCGTAGAAATGCCCTTCGCCGATAGCCACGGCCTGACTTTGAACTGCCATAGGTAGGTGATCTTACAAGTGACTTACATCTATTTTTTGGATCATAAGCTCCGCTATTCAGTTCTTTACAGCTATGAGAACTTTGGCGAGGCTATGCCACGCCGTTCGGAAGTCATTCCAGAAAAACCTTGGGGGGATCAGTTTGACCCCCCCCCCCATCCACCCGAGCTCGTGTTAAAGGACACCAGTATCACTTAGGACACAAACACGAGAACAGTGTTCATCAAGACTTATAATACAAACCTGCATACACTTTGAGCGCTGGCTCTTATTCGACTCGTCCAGTGGGTGCACGCAGGTGATAGATACGTTTATAACGCCATCTGCTAAAACACCTGATCAGCCATACAGCTTATGTTTTGTTTAGTTGGGCGCAAAATGGCCCAAGAAGTCGGCGCGCCCTAAAACCCCAATCATCATCATGTTTTGTTTAGGGCTTCCTAAAACCCAAGTATGCATCAAGTTAGAAGTTTCGGCCAGTGTAACATGCCGCGAAGTCCTTGAAAGTTGTGGGCGAGCTTTCGGCCATCATTTCCCTATGTCTGGCCTAAACACGGAGAACACAGCAATTTACGAGCAATGGGTAGCCGCCGTTCATGATGCACATACGTTAGGACTCACTGGAGTCTGCGTTAACCACTGCGAGCTTGGGAAACCAGAGGTACGGGGTTCGATTCCCCGCGGTGCCCGCCCTTCCTGCCAGGGTGAGAGGCAGGCGACGCTATACAGCCCATGCAGCTGAGTGCGTCGTAAAGCCCCAGTGACACGCACAGGGCTGATTGGACATAGTATGCCGTAAAGAAACGCTCGGTATTCTAGCCCTTTGCATTGTATCCAATGACCAAGGGTGTCCCAGAATGTGGTCCCAGTGGGCAAGGAATTGAACAAAGGTATGCTAAACCGTACTTAACTAAAAAATGACAGATGTCCTCGGTAATACAGACACCATTTACCATAGGCCTCGCCGATAGCATCATGTGGCCCTGAGATATGGCTCACTTGAAGGTCATCTTTTGAAGAATGGTGAAACTCGCCTCCTGGCTCACAGTCCCAATCAGTTTTTATATTTTGGCCTAGCTATCATCATTTGTTGCGCTTTTTGTCGGCGTTTCCTGTGAGGTTAGGAATCGCTCGAGAGCCCCATCTCATGAATTGCTTCTAGAGGGTTGCTGTGCCACTGCTGCTTCACGACCGCACAGCAGCCACGGCTAGCTCTGCGGAGCCCTCGCCTGGCAGCTAGGAGCCCTCGTGGAGGCAGTGTGTGGCTACCCATGTGGCACGTGATTGGCAGGCCTCACCCGCAGCTGGATCAGGCAGGTCGGTGGCGGTGTAATATACTGATGAGGAAACCCCGAGGAAAATGGGATGGTGAGCTGGACAGGCGAATACGTGCGGCGTGTGGACATGTGTAAGAGGGCTCGTTACGCAACGGGCATGCTTTTGCGATCCACTGTGACAACGTCAATATATTCGACCGCAGTCAACACAAGCTGAGATGAGAAAGATGGCACACATGCGTAGATAAGTGGATTCTTCACAGCAAAAGCCAAGTAATATGTTAAGATGAATTGTGACGTAATATCAAAAGTCAGAAGCCAGGATCCACAGCATCAAGATCAACAATTAAACATTCTACGAGGCTGACAAAGAGATAGGTGGAGTACCGAGGGGCGGAAGGACTTGCTCCTTAATTGTATTGCAACATATTTTGTCCCTCCTTTTTTGGCAAGTGAACTGAGCACTTATCACCGGAGCTGGGGCGTGCCTTTTCCCACGCCGATTACATATGCCCCACTTTGTCACTCGTGTTCGTCTTTGTCCAGCGTCGTCGGCAACGCGATTCAAACCCGTCGCACTCACCACTGAACAAAGCGGCATACAACGAGAATGCTCAACACAGTCGCATAGGGAACAAGACAAGCCGCCGGAGTTTCCGCACTGGACCCAAGCACTTCATCCCACTGCCCATCGTACGCAATGTATTTATTGACACAGTTCTCCACTACCGACAGCGGTCCGGCGCAATCCAGCACCACCTGGTGGAAGTTGCGCAAGTCAAACTTTTGCCCCAGCCGCTTGATGGCTCTGGCACGGAGCTCTTTCAGACGTAGCTCCCCCACCTTATACGCAGTGGCTTGGCCTGGCCAAGTGACGTAGCGTCGGACCTCATTCTGTGAAAACGATAAATGCCATTATGACACTCCTTAGAAATTTCACTGGAATGGCACGGTCTGGCTACAGCGGGACCGATTGGCGTTCGCAGCACCACGAACTGCTAACGAGGCACTGGAATGTCTATCTCTTGCGTTACTGTAGCTGTTAAGGGCAATCTCGAGGCTGAGTAGATGAGATATGCGATCCAGTCAGTCAACACACACTCGTTCACGCACTGGTGCTTGGCGCCCAGTGTATGCTGCAGCGGCAATCAACCTAAGTGTTATTTGTCTTGATTGCCACTGTTGTTGCTGTTGCATTGATTGCGGCCGATCGTTTCGATAAACGTTGCACCGCTGGACACAGGTGTTCTGGCTTCTAAAGATTGCGAACACGCCTGTTTAAAACTGCAACATAAATGTAATACTTTGTCAATATTTCAAAGCTTTTTCACGGGTCCATTGAACATCCGATAGACGTCCGCACGCAAACATGTGTTGGCAATGCCAACACCAAATGCTGACCCCGCGTCGATCAGCCCTATTGAACATTGAACAGCGCCCACGTGGGCACAGTATGAATACAGGGCCGTCGTCCCGGCAGAGTGCCACCCTTTTCCGCGATCGCTGCCACAGTGCTACTGGACAGGGATCCTGCACTTAAGCTGTCCATGGCTCACCTCTAACCGCTCGCGAGGCGATGCCGTATGCTCCAGCATGTAATTGAGCGCCATCTCTTGAGTCCAGTTGAAAGCGTGGAGTCCAGTGTCGACGACAAGGCGGCAAGCGCGTAGAATCTCCAGACTGTAGCCGCCATACCTGACGTAGTCACACAAAAATAGCACGTGCATCACTTGTATGCGTTGCTTTTTAATTTGCCCTTTCAAATGTGCGTCCAAGTCACCATAGAAAGTGTTTGTGTGCATCAAAGCCAAGACGAGCCTACTACATCGTTCTCATGCAAATTAAAATTGCACAGACCGATTACCCATCTTGTCAAACACGAAGCTACAGCCGTCATTTACGCATTTTGGGTCTGTTCTTCTGTCAGCTATCCTGGGATGACAGTTCCTCGGCCCATGAGCTGCACACCCTTCACCCCAGAGGCCGCCCGCGCCTCAGTCCAGCCTCCGTCCACCCCTCACCCGAGCCTCCGTTCACCTCTCCGCTCCAGCCGGCGTGGCTGACCCGGCGCGCAGAGTGGGACCCCAGGCCCAGTCACTAACCTCTCGATGGGGTGGCCGTCGTACAGGGTCAGGGCCTCGCCCAGCGACTCGGCATACAGTGCCCAGCCCTCGACGAGGGCCGTGTTGGAAAGCAGACGAGAGGGCGACATGCTAGTCTCGCCGGCGTCGCCGTGGGCGCGCCGAAACCGCGGCAAACCTGCAACACGGTCACACGACCGGCGGTGACCGCTGCCACGCGGGAGCGCGGCTGCCAGGCAGCGTGCGGCTCTGGCAGTTGATAACAAACGATTGGGTGACCCATGGTGCTCGTGCAGTGCTGTTGATTGAGGGCATGAGGCTGGGTGGTACGTGGCGCCTGGCACTATGTATGCCTGGCACTCATTTTCTCTGCCTCGCTCATTGTCGCTGCTCGATTGTTCTATTGCTCGCAGTGTGTTTCGGCGTTCCGTCTGGTTGTAACAGCCTGAACTACACGTGTGTGCCATTCTTCCCCTTTATCTCTCGGGTTAGGCCTAACTCTCCGTGTACGCATCAGTGTGATATTCGAGGAGTTGCACACAAAAAATGACGCCTGTTTCTTCTTTCCTACCTTTGCTGTACACTTTTCAGTTTGTTTCTGGTGCTCTATATGGACCAATGTTTGGCTCAGGAGTAGTTAACATTTTGCCCACCGGCCACTGATGCTGTCCTTCTGTGGTCGCTATGACCACGGGTGGTCGAGATAACGGCCTAGTTTCCAACTGCACTTTTCATATTCGATGGTTTACAAATATCATGTCTCACTCAAACGAATAGGGAATCAAAGTTATATACAACAGTAGCAATGTCGCGAGCAGCCCTGTCTCATACTCAACCTGCATTCCAATAAGTACATTTATCAGCGCACAACGTTGAAAAGAGCTGCGCTCTTTGTCGGTGGCAAGTGCATAGCACCATAGCCAGTGCCTGCAAGTCCATCCGAGGCGTGACCAGTCTCACCGTTGTTCTGTTTGAGGGCGGAGAAGTAGAGGTGGTGGCCCGGGTTGGCCTCGTGCAGGGCCAGAGCCATCATCTCGTATTTGGGCGTCTTGTCAAACAGGTTAACGTTGACCTGGAATCTGCCTGGCAGCGAGCCGTCGAACGCTGGAGGCCGGTATGACGCGAAAATTGCCTTCTTTTGGCTGATTGGCTTCATCTCCACGCTGGTGGAAAGTAAGCCGCGAAGATGAATTGCATGGGGTGAACAACGACTGTTTTGGACGTGGATGGGGAACATATGAAGAATATCGCTGCAAATATGTCCGTTTGTCACAGAGACTAAACATTGTCCGTCGAGTATTCCCATCGACCCCTAACAGCGACAGCCTTCTGCAAAAAGCACCGCAGTGCTGGTTTAAAGACAGCACCTTGCAAGGTAATGCCTGCCATCATTTCGTCTAAAGTGTCACAGAACTTTTAACACATGAGGAATCATACCCAGGATTTTTCAGCTCAATTTACGAAGTTGGATTGTCCTTTCGACCAGAGCTTCGAGAACCTTATCAGCACTGCTAGAAGCATGACATGCGCAAACGTTGATTAGGCCTGATGAGACGCCTTGCGCAGCTCGGGATGAGCTGGGGACACAAACCTTACTGCTCTCACTACGTGGGTAATGCAGGAACATGAGAAAATAGATGCCGTCGCCTTTTTGGCACCCAGTGTCACACACACACCAATGAGCTCTATAAATGCTGGGATATTCACAATGTAACACACAGATTAACGGCGATGGCAAGCACCTGCGCGCAAATTCACAAAAAAACTGCATGTAAAATATTGACAAGCTGCAAGCATCGTCAGACCTGAGAATTGCACTTAACAAAATCAACCACTTTGCAAAGGCTCGCGGTTTTAATTAGGGTTGAAAAACCCTTCCGATTGAACGGATATGATTGGCAACAAAAAGCGGAACTTTTGCGAGCCATTTGATGACAAAATCGCAAAAATAATTACAAGAGACAAGACCATATTACGACAGACCATCCCAGCTACACGCATCTCAAACTTGGTACTGGTCTGTACTCACTGAAGCTTGCAGCGTGAGCATGTGTAGAGCACATGTCGAAACATTGACGTTTCGCTGTATAAGCAAGTTGAGCCACAATATGTTGCCAAAGGTGGCAGCTTTAATCAGGATAGTTTTTAGCAGGCGGCAGAAATATACTACGAACCTACTACAACCGTGCTGACGTCACAGGACAATGGTGCCAGAGCTTTTCCAATGCCCCCCAGATCAGTGCTTTTTACGGATTTTTCAGCCAAGATTCAAGTTACAAACTAACCTGCATAAAATACAAAATTACTAGCCCCATTACTGGTCGTGAGGCTAGTAATCACTAGCGTCATTACTAGTCAAAATTACTAACCTCATTACCTGGCCGTGACTGACCATAGCAGCTTGCGACAAACGTGATCAGTTAGCTTCGTAGCGTTTTCAAGCGTCGTGCCACTTAAGACAGATAGGCTCGAATGCTTGCCGCGCGGTAGTGCGTTGGGTCCAGAGCAAAGGATGTGGGCTTCTTTTGGTTGTGTTCACGTCAGAAGGTGACTAGCCAGAGGGGCGTAGCTAATCGTCAGGTTTTCAGGTGCTGTGCCCCAGGTGACAATTTGGCTACTGGTGACAATTTAGACGGTGTCAAATTTCGTCGGTGACAGAAAGGGACTTTTCTACCCTGCTTTTACTAAGCATGGTCAAAGTGTCGCGAAGTACTCATTGGATGAATATTGGCAACGATCATGGTCAGAAATAAGCTTAATTTCCATCGGCTGGGTCATAACGCATCCTCTGTACACAGTCACCAACCCGCGCCTTTGCCAACACAATAGTCCGTTTTTGTCCTCCATCAGTAACAGTCAAATCCATGGCGCTGCCACACTAAACGACCAGATATTCCCGCCCCACGCTCTTCGAATTTCTCACGATCTAAACTATTAAATTTCCGTCTACATTGAATGGGGAGGTGAAATCGTGGCAACAGTGCAGCGCTGCAAAATTGCACTACCTGATCAAACAACTTATGTTTCAAATGACTCAAAAATATTAGAGCACCACCTTGCAAGAATAAAGCTACTAAACTGAGACATTTCATGACGGGGCAATCAGAAGCTACGACGATATAAGCCAGCACCAGCTTGTCTGGGCGGGTCACTACAGCCACAAGATCTTCGTTTAGACACGACCTTAAGACTTGCTCGTTCTGTGTCACCGCTGGAAATCATGGCAATGTGATATCGAGTTAAGCCTTGCTATACGGCTCGGTTGGCAATCAGGCCTCACCGATTCATACCAGGCCAGTCATTTCGCTTACATGACGTCATCGACTGGCAGTTCCCAGACGACAGCAGGCAGGTGTTGTTGTATGCGGTTCTGAATCATGTCCGTGAAGCCTGCCATTAGTGCCTCGGGACTGCTGTGGTAGTTGGATGGGTCGCTTCGCAGCTGCTCCGAAAACGAACTAGTGTTGGCACCACGGAATCCCTGACTGGTGGCTATCTGAAACACCCGGCACGCATAAGCTTTATGCGTTTTAGCGTCCTTCTGCATGTAGGCGTGAAGAAATGAAAAATTGAAAACATCAAAATGTCAGGTAGAACCACATCCACCATGTGGTTGTAGCGACTTGTTTCCTTCACTTGGCGACAGCACAACCCGCTTCTATCTACTTCAAAATGCGAGGAGGCAGCGATGCGTATCAACGTGTGATCGTGCGTACCTTTTTCATTTCGCCCTCAATCCTTTCCACTTCATCCAAGCCCATCTGATGGATCTCCTCCGCCGTGAGTTTTGTCGAGGTGTGATACCGGAGACACGCCTCGTAGAACGCCGGCCCGTTGGGCAGTGACGTCACAGCTACCTCCTCCCTGGTGTTCGGCAGGTATTCCGACTCAACAAAGTCCGCTGAAAAGAAATGCACTTCGTGTGTAGTTCTGGTGGGGGCAGCATTCGTCGCCAACCCGGGGTATTTTGAACAGTTTTGTGCGGCAGTTGGTTAATTCGTGGAATGTTGCTTTCCGATCGGTGTTGACCGCTACTGAATGAAAAGACTCACTGATCGCCTTTGAAACCCGGGATGCGTCTATGCAGCAATTATGCATAAACGTGTCGTAATAACTGGAACATACCGTTGCCAATGAGAAATGGACTAGCTGTAAGGTGTTGTTCCCAGTTGAAATATGCGGAAGGCAGCTTCCCGTATTGCCATCACCAATGCCAGTTAGCTGTGAAAAAAGCAAAAGGCCAAGACGTCCCACTCCGTCAGTTGCCTCGTAATACCTAGCTTCAGCAGATGACCGATAACTTCAATTTGGACAGCCTGCCGCCCTTTCATCTGCAGCTCAGAACGGACCGGATCCCGAATTTCTTCAGGCATCTTCAGGAACGGCGCGAAGTAGCTGGAGTCGTCAAGGGAGACGTTCTGTGCGCGCAGTTGTGCTGGCAGTGTCTCCTGGTGGAGCGAAACAGCATGGTTGGTGCTTGGAACGACTCAGAAAGAGCGCGCTGGTTGGTACTTGGAGCGGCTGAGAACTTGGGTAGAGTAGAGCGCATTTCCGTGCAGGGCTGGAAGGATATGCTTCATTCGTAGCTTCGTTGTCTGGGCAGCCCACTTAGCCTGAGTGATCATCGCATGTCAAACAATACAAAGAGAAGGGATAGACCTCCAAGTGCAGCACCGGCCAGAACGGGAATCAGACGAGTCCGCACATGGCAGGCCCCAGGATCACATTCCATACCGCTTATGGAATTTATGACATGCATTGATACGTGCGTTATTGGGTGCTCGGAGCTAGAAATTCCAGACAGACACACACATCACAATAAAATGTGCCCTTTTCGTTTTTTCATCGCAACTGCTAAAGCTGTACCCCTCGCCTCTTCTGTGAAATACTACTTACTTCCCTGATAGTAATGACGTCATTGTCATCATCTAGCGTACCTTGGTTTATCCCAGTTTGATACAACACATTGCTGATGCAGCTCCAGAAGCACTGATGTATTCACGTGTCTAACATAGTTCGTTCGAAAAAGATTTAAGACGCGGACCTAATCACTTGTGCCCCGAAGTTGAATTGTAACGCATGGGTACTCGTACGTTGCAAGTTCATACACTTCTGCTATTATTGCCCATGTTTTTACGTTGCGAATGTATGTTTGTCATTCGAACGCTAGCATTTATTATTCCTATTGCGGGAAGAAATGACATCCAACACTGTGCGTGATTTATGATCGCACATGCAGCAAAAGTGGCATTTTCACCCAAAAAGAACTGAAAAATGGGGCCTGCAAAATCTGCGCCTCCTGTGGCGTACTGTTGACTTTCGCTTTGCCTGTCTCGTTAATCGATTTGCTGTCGATTTAGTCTTTGGAGGTAAAGTCGCTCGAAGTGCAGACTATTGACTGCCGGAGTTAGTCGTTTTCCGTCGCTCGGTCGGTGCAAGGGACGCCACTGCGGAGGTTGGGACCTACCCAGCCCAAAGCACGAATAAGGGCGCGGGTCCGGTCCTTGGGTGGCAGCGAATGAGTGAGCACAGGTTTCTAGGATGTGGCGAAGGCAGGTGAATGCGATCTGCGCACAACCGGAATTTCACCTTTTCCATCGCGTTTGTAAGTTCAGTATATATTATGACAACATGTCTAGGCTTATTGCCCGAAAGTTGCAATTTGATATGCATTATAAGCACAACTATCACTAAACCATAGACATTCGGCGATTTTTACCAGCTTCAATGCTTATATATCTAATTAGCCAGCTACATATGTATCAGGCACGCTCACTCAAAAACGAAGGCCAAAAAAGGTCTTGCAGGAACAATTGCTATCCAATGAGTGGTGACGTCATGTACCTACTTATTTTGGATTATTTGCCTGTGCTATACAGCCGCAATGCTACGAGTTGGCGCACACAATATTATGCATGCTATGTCGTGCGATGCAATTTTTTTTGCGTGGTGAATGATTTGTTAGTGAATTACATTTTAAGGACATGCTCTGCTGCATGCGAGTGTGAAATCAGCTTTAGGTGAGGTCTGAGTTAAATCTTATCTGTAGATACCAGCCACCTGGGGAAGGGTTGTACATAATCACGTCTAAAACAGCACAGATCTGATATAAAGGAAGGATTATCATAGATTGTTCGGCGCCGATTTGCCTTTGGTGGCACTCCTCCCCATCCTCTTCCCACAGAGATCAGCAACGACTGCGCAGATAACATCATAAAATAGCTATCTAAATTCCCCAGGCGCTTTTGAAAAGAGGCTTCTGACAACTCTCCCTCCGAATCATTCATGCAAAAGACAGTGTTATTAACTGCTTATGCACCTGGAAGGCACGTGAATGCGGCAAACTGGGACTATGTCACAAATTAAGAGAAAGCATTTGTTTGACGGTGGCGGCCGATGACAAATATTTCCACTCTTTCAGTTAGCGATCATTTTTGTCAACGCCATAACTTCAGCGGCGTTTGCACGGGAGCCTTCGCCGATGAATGGCGTATAATGGCAACTAATGTTGAATGTTTGGCCCCGAACCTAAACTAATACACCGGCACTCTTCAAGAGTGACGAACAGATCCTAAGTGGCCAAACACTTGAAGCAATGGTCAACAACCCTTTTTCACATTGTTGCAGGATGCCGCATAGAAAGCATACATAAATGTTTTTACATGTGCGCGTCTTACCCAAGATCACAGAATAGCATATGACTTCACAGCTCTATGCATTAATCCTCACCCTGATAATAGGAGGACGATGAGCCCCCCCCCCCCCCAAAAAAAAAGCTTGTGAGAAGATCTCTCTGAAACGTGTCGAATGTTTCGGCATCCTTTGGATATTCGCTGTGTTTGTTTTGACGTCTAAAATGTTCCTCTGTTAATCTGGTTTCTGAAAAGCATAGTTTTTGTGGGAATAGTGCACGGTGATCCACGGCTGGCGCGGGCGCGTGGTGACAACCGACGGATCCTCGGTGGCGCGGGCGAGTGGTGACAACCGACGGATCCTCGGTGACGCGGGCGCGTGGTGACAACCGACGGATCCTCGGTGGCGCGGGCGAGTGGTGACAACCGACGGACCATCGGTGACGCAGGCGGGTGGTGACAACCGAGGGATCCTCGGTGGCGCGGGCGAGTGGTGACAACCGACGGGTCCTCCGTGGCGCACAGCGGCCGACAATGCTTTCGTAACTTCCAAATGCCGTTGCATACAAATACATAGGTTAGTTCTTGAAAAACTGGTGGTACGTTTAAATTGTAGCAGCGACATGAATAGACGGGCATTGTCAACCGGGACTTGGGGGCGCGGGTTCCATGCTTATTACATCAAACGGACGCAGTGCCCACTTTAATACCTTCGAAAGCCGACTAGTCGATCGCACGATCTAACAACCGAATGCAATGGACGGACAAAAACTCCCCACATGGTAAAAATCTTTGCAGATTATTGGTGACTGAGTCGAGTCGCCCATGTCGGGCTTCTGACACCGAACCTTCCGATAAGTTCTAGCAGGACCCCTGGAGCCAGTGTTGCTTGAACGTCACACAGCTAAAAAGACTCAATCTGATCAGTTACATGCATCCGCCAGAAATCCTGATCCAGATTATTGCAGATTTTGGTTGGCGGTGTACTCGGTACTGTCGGCCCGCCCGACCAGCCGTCCCGCCCGACCAGCCGTCCCGCCCGACCAGCCGTCCCGCCCGACCAGCCGTCCCACCCAGCCAGCCGGCCCGCCCAGCCAGCCGGCCCACCCAGCCAGCCGTCCCGCCCAGCCAGCCGGCCCACCCAGCCAGCCGGCCCACCCAGCCAGCCGGCCCACCCAGCCAGCCGTCCCGCCCAGCCAGCCGTCCCACCCAGCCAGCCGGCCCACCCAGCCAGCCGTCCCGCCCAGCCCCGGCCCACCCAGCGCCGGCCCACCCAGCCAGCCGGCCCGCCCACCAGCCGTCCCGCCCAGCCAGCCGGCCCACCCAGCCAGCCGGCCCGCCCGACCAGCCGTCCCGCCCAGCCAGCCGGCCCACCCAGCCAGCCGTCCCGCCCGACCAGCCGGCCCACCCAGCCAGCCGCCCGCCCGACCAGCCGGCCCACCCAGCCAGCCGTCCCGCCCAGCCAGCCGGCCCACCCCGGCCAGCCGCCCGCCCAGCCAGCCGGCCCCCCAGCCAGCCGCCCGCCCAGCCAGCCGGCCCACCCAGCCAGCCGTCCCGCCCAGCCAGCCGGCCCACCCAGCCAGCCGGCCCGCCCGACCAGCCGGCCCGCCCGACCAGCCGGCCCGCCCAGCCAGTTGTCCCGCCCAGCCAGCCGGCCCACCCAGCCAGCCGGCCCACCCAGCCAGCCGTCCCGCCCCAGCCAGCCGGCCCACCCAGCCAGCCGTCCCGCCCAGCCAGCCGGCCCGCCCAGCCAGCCGTCCCACCCAGCCAGCCGGCCCGCTGACCGGCCCCTCCGCGTCCCTGAATGGGTGCGAAACACTCCTCCTACCCACAAGCACAAAAACTCCCCTCAAACTCGCTCCCCACCCCCGAGATCCCAGCGGGCGACCGGTTAGCGGAACATCCGTGGTTACCGGGGAACCCAAACACGACCAATGATTTTTTAACCAGAGAAATGTGAATGGAGGGCACAAATTCCATGCCATCAGGGCACAAACTTCCGACAGAGAGCAGACCAACTTCCCTAAGTGGCCCAACAGCCATTCGGCTAGCGCGCGCCTCGACGGGGTCAATCAAACCCCGAAAATGTTTGCATAATAATTTATGAACGGCACGGCGTGTCTGCACCAAACTTCGCATAGCTGCAGACAACTGAATAGCGAATATATCGGGATAAGAATTACATGCACCCTGTAAGGTCGCTGATCCATGGCAGATCAAAGTCAGGCCGTGGCAAGGTTCAAGTCAAGGTTGGCTAGTCAGACTGTCAACGAATGCAATCTCTAGGACATTGTTTAATCTGGTGCGACAGCTGAGTGTTACATTAAGCGCTGTGCCTCTGAAACAGTTTCTTGGGATATAAAGCAAATGTATTACGCATTTCAACAAACTACATTGGTCAAGAGTCAGGTACGAAGGCTAGACGGAGGTCAAAACCAAGTTTTTTTTTTACTGGAGAGCTTACTTCATGGTTACGTTTCTGATGCTCATTTCGAATTTCTTGATAACAGGGACCACAGCAGACTTCTTCCATAAGCTTCGCAACGGTCAGAGTAGGTCACTGACCTCAAACGACCCAGATCAACCTTTTCTTTGTAAAATGAAGTAAAAAATCGAAACAGTTTTGCAGGATTTAGGATAACCAGAGCGTTCTTAAGATTAAACGAGGTATCTGACCTAAAACTAACACCAATAACCCTTTGGTTAGAACAGGTATCTAGGTTTAACGCGGGCCCATGAGTAGGTCTGTAGACACGTTAGAAACCAATCTTGAGTTTGACCTTGTTTAACGTTAATGGACCCAAATGTCGTGGACTGTGAATATCGCATTTTAACAAAGGTAAGTTCACAGACTGAAAGTTTGGCATCTCTTGAGTTTGGCATCGTTTGGCATGGAGTTTGGCATGGAGCATCCATGACAACGCCCACCCTGTGAGTTTTGCATCTCTGGCTCTATTAGTTTTTGAGATATTAGGGTTCGCGGGCACACTGACCCCAAGCCAAACGAAGGGTATTCAACTGGCCACCCGGGCGTGTGTCTAAAGGGTCGAGCATGTTTCGCCATCATACGCAGTTGTCATTTGTGCAGCAGCTTTGTGCGCCGTTGGGGATGGTGGCAGTTGTGTCCAGGGACACTTCGAGTGCAGTGTTCGTTTCTGCTTGGCGAGGAATAAGTTGTTATTCACAACAGATTCAAGAGCTTCCATAAAAGGCATCACCCCAACAAATACGAGCAATCATGTTTTCACACCCCCTGGGAGCAGCCTGGAAACTGAATCACCCAAATGAGCTAAATGATGAACCGTGTGACATCTCGAAAAAGAAGCTGGACCTTCAGACACTGCAACCCTGATTTGACGAAGATCTGCACGACTCACCACGCACCAAAATGAAAAATTTCCGCTGTCCATCCCCAAACCCAAATGAGTTTCAACTTTCTTAGCATGGAACCACACCACCACCTAAATTTGGTTGCTTTTACGCATTTCACGCCAACAAATCATAAACATTTAGCCCAGAGTTCCAACCAGTCAGAGTCCTTTAATAATGATTGTTCCTATGTTTCCGAGAGAGGCTGAGTTCATATGACTCAACTTAGCTGAATTTGGAACTAGCTGAGATGGCCAAAAGTTGTTCTGAAGGGAATCAACAGCAACTATGTATCGGCAACAAATTCATGGTTGCGTTGAAAAAACACTTGAGGTCGTCGGCAGGTAGTAGTCCACCCAATACATACCGGTAGCTTTATTTTAAATGGGAAGTACGCCGATGTCAGTCAATCTGGGCACTCATGGCAAGCATTCAAGATCGAGGGCATTCCATAGACTAACCATTGAAACGTTGTGCAGCACCATTCCTTCCTCAATGCCCATTCTGAGCAGCATGATGACTTCCTCCACTTTTCTCGGAAACGCGCCATACCTGAAATGTTAAAAGGTGCAGCAACGCGTCAAGTTTGATATCAAGGTCGTAACCGTAGCTCGGCTTCGCGGTAGGAATAGATCGACCCGCATAATCAGGCTCCAAAAACTTACTTCAATAAATCTCCATTGATTGCTCTTTGCGTAGCAGGGAAAAAAGATGCTTTACGCACGATGGATTCGTGCTTGATGCTTTCACGGTGGGTACGAGTCGCGGACTACTCGGTGATGTCTCTAGGTCCATTAGCTCATGCCCAGACTGAGTTGATATTGACAACCACCCAAGGTGTTAACAGCCCCGGTCAGAAAGGCAATATCGCACGATAAGAATGCGGTTGTTTTGCAGCGCCTGTTCCTTACACATTCCTGCACGCTTCCTGAGGCCAGGCCGAGTGAGGAAATGCCACATAAAACTCAAACATTACCGTTTCTTCTAACATTTTTGAGAACAGCATATTACGACCATCGAGACATGAGGGTCACGCCTCCCATGGTACCAGGTGCAGCGGCGCAGCTAGAGGGGAGGGGAAGGGGCCACTGTGGGTCCGCTCGCGATCAGGCCCGCGTCTATTGTACGTTTTCACCATGAACTGCTCCAGCGGTTATTTTGTGATGAGTGGTCACCGTGTTACGTGGCTCCTCTAAGTGCAATTTTGGCAGTGGCCCAACCTAGGCTCAAATCTGCTAGTGTAGCTATTCGATGCTCTGGAAATTGATTCATCTTTTAACCTGTAGTAGGTCAAAAACAGGCCATCCTTATCAGTCAATGTAATTATTATGGAATCTTTCAGTTTGATGCGACATCGGAGTGTAAGACGGAGTTATAACCTTCAAGATGGTTTCGTCGACGCTAAGACGATTCGAAATAGGATTTCAACTAGTTGCACTGGCCTTGGCTCAGATACAACAGTCAGATAAAGATCTATACCAAACAGGTTTCTACTGGAAAACTGATTTGAAGAAGTGCTCCATGTTCGATTCGAGTTCTTAGGCAACACTGGTGTCAACAGGCTTATCAATTGGATTTCATGACAGCCAAGGGAGAACATTGACCTTAACGCGACGTCGGTCAAACTTTTGCTTTTGGGAACATGCAGCCTGAGGAAGCTCTTTACCCAGATTTTGAGGTCAAATTTCAAAATTATCCCAAATGATCTTGGTCATTTCAACGTTTGAAAAGTCACAACGGGACCGACCTGATATAACCTCGACTGACCTTTTGTTTAGAAAAGGTGTCTTGATTAAAACAGGTTGTGTGAGGTCTGAGGTCACTCAGGATACCGATCTCCATTTTGACATGGTTTACCTTATTTGACATGAAGGCACGATCGAGAGACATGACGAGTCGACACAGATAAATCCCCATGAAGCCGTGTCTAATACTTACCCTGTGAATTTGATCTTTCCAGCTTTGTTGGTTTTTGGTAGCTCAGGGGGTCAAATTGACTTTCCTTTCCAACCGAGCGCGTCGCATTCAATGGGCCACCCGGCTCACGTGCTAAAGCATACCACACCTGTCATTTGCGAATGTTGTCTACTATGCCGGGTAGACAGGTAGACAGGTTGTCTACCATGCCTGGTAGATGTCTACAATACCAGCCGTGATGCATTCTACTGCTACAGGCAGGACTACGGGCTGACATGTGTACGAGCGGGCCGGCATATTTCACGTTCAGGATAGTGATCATACCGGTGTCGCTGCAACTCTTCTGCATTTAATAACCAATTTTACGAATTGAATTCCACTGGAAATTATTCACTGAAAATACCCACCACCGCAAAATTATTCTCGTTACCGAGGAGTGGACCGCACCCGTACCTTTGTGCGTGCCATGCTTACCTTTTTAGAAGGTTGCGATAGTCTTGCTCGTTTTTAAAAGGCATGTGTTTTATCACTTTGCTCAGAGCTTTTCCGACGCTGTATAGATATGTTGATGGGAAGAGGTATCTGAAATCGAACCAATGCTGGATGTAGTGCTTGCCAGTACCGTCAGGGTATTCCGACAAACGAGAAAGCACCGGTATGCGGCAAATGGAGGTGTCTTGGACGAAAACCTTCACATAAGCTCATGCAATGTTTAAATGCATTCGCAATGCTCTGATAAAAAAACTGCAGGGATATCCCGCACACACAGACACATTCCTTGTTCCATTCTTCTGCTCTCAGCGCTTTTCAACTACATCATTTAGCAGCCATGTATAGCCCTGTTTCGGGACTGCACAGGGCTGGTCGCACCAACAAGCATACACACCACACCAAAGCCAAGTCTGGGTGCACAGCTCCCGTGGCTCACCCTTTGTACGTTTCTCCGTCTACGAAGGCGACTAAGTTGTCCCTCAGTACGGTGGCGCTGACCCTGGTGTGGTAGCTGAGGTCGTCCTTCAACAGCTTCGACACCTCAATCAGATACGACTGCATCTGCGTCAGCCTGGAACGGTGCGCCGACATCGACACAGAAGTCAGCCGGTCGTCGTAGCTGTGGTTGCCAACCTGCCGACGGGGAGTCAATGTGGTCAGCGAAAAGGGCATCAAGGGTGACACAAAACACAAGACAGATGTTGAGCCCCCACCCGCGTATATATAACCCATGCACAAACGAGTCCATGTTTGGTGTGCAAAGATAAACCGCATCTCTCCAGAATTTCGTCAACATGTCATCAATCCGTAAAGCGAGAAAGCCGCGCGCGCGCGCCCGCACACACACACACACACACACACACACACACACACACACACACACACACACACACACACACACACACACACACACACACACACACACACACACACACACACACACACACACACACACACACACGCACGCACACGCACACGCACACGCACACACGCGCACACACACACACACACACACACACACACACACACACACACACACACACACACACACACACACACACACACACACACACACACAAGACATCATGCTGGGTATGTATACAGTCGGTAGACTGTGCTACTCTTTATCTACTCGACATAAGCAAGAACAGCCATGTGATGCTGCTGTTTTGCCATCATGAGTGTTAAGTTCTCGTAAAGAAACTAATCCACCTTTGTCATGCGGGAGTGCTGACCAAGCACAACCATTCGCATGTTTCAGGTGTGTCTTCTTTTGGTTGGTGAAGTGCTTCTGCACTTTGTCAGGTGCAGTATATTCCAGTGCGATGATCCAGAGCTATGGAATCACCCCCTCGTCCCTCCCATTTCGACATCCGGTGATCCTTCTCATCCTGCCAACCCGTCATATCTCCATTGTTGCAGTATATTCCAGTGCGATGATCCAGAGCTATGGAATCACCCCCTCATCCCTCCCATTTCGACATCCGGTGATCCTTCTCATCCTGCCAATCCGTCATATCTCCATTGATCCAGTCATCGCCTAAATTGTAGTGCTCGCCTTCTACCAGCAGCTTTACAATCATCCTTCCGAAAGCCGCCTCTTCTTTCCTGACTAGCACGGCCCACGTCCACGTCACTTGACGGAAACTGCACTGACTTCCTCACCGCACCGTTGTTACCGCAAGGGAACAGGGAGAGATGTTCGACGGGGCGCAAAGTTTCCCTGAGAACATCCTTCCGACATGTCGTGCAGACGCGCTCAAATTTACGCCGGCCTAATGAGTACTCACTGCGCGTGTTTGCGCGCCAAAAACGTACCCAGCATTTCTGGCATCCGAGCAGTGATGGTATTGTAGGAACACTGCTCGGCAGTTCACCGTTGGCGCAGGCAGCGGGTGGCAACCGGAGAGCCAGCCGATCGCGCGTGACAGCCAACATTGTCACATTGGCGGGTTCCTACAGTGAGGTCTTTAGCTGAAAACGTTAAATGCATTTCAATGCGCTCAGGATAAAATCATGAACACGCCTGTGTAAGCTTTATGTCGCTACATTGCACGCTTCCGTAAATAATGGCATGTAAACGTGAAAAGTGCGATTTTCGGGGAAAGTTGACCTTAGACCTAGCATAATAGGGTCGGTGTTTTACCTAGTAGCATGCGATTTATTACCAAATGTGAGATTGCATTGAGACCGATACACCGGTCTTTTCCGCGAGACTCTAGTGTTCTTAATTTAGATACTGTAGAGGGTTCGCATCTCCCCTATCAATCCCCGTCATGAAAAGGCGAATCAGGGCGAGGGTACACCCTCTGCTGGCAGCGCTGTTCGTGGATGGTTGAGCGCCATACCGTGGCGACGCCTCCGACAGGGAGCTCCGGAATTTAAATGCTTGCTAGACCGCCTTTCTTTCTTCATTGTCACTTTATTCTGTATCCTCGCGACACTTTTTGCTGGGTCGATCCTGGGGTAGCTGCACACACCGGCCATGAGTGGGCTAAGTGTCCCGGCGTGGGACCCGTCCGAGCGCCCAGCACATTTCCCGAAGGAGGGCATGCAAGCAATATCTGATCGGTAGACTCTCAAGTGCATACAGCTTTGCCATAGGCTCCGTCTGCCTTTCCTCACCCCATAACACTGAAATGGCCGCTACTGGCCGAAAAGCCCCAGATATCCTGAAGCAGTCGAGAGCTAGATATGATCATAAAGGTCAACATGTAGCATAGGTCATTTTTGGGTATACGTCCAGCAACCCATCAGGTGGCTTTGGAACTCGGCATAACCTGCAATCTTAAAGGGAGCGTTTTTCATTTGTAGAGGGGGGAGGGGGGCTAACTGAATTAGCCAGTTTAACATAATTTGGTGCCGCCCACATTCCTGGCCTTCTTGAGACGCAAATATCTCTGTTTTTTAGGGACGACCGCGAAGTTGTGCAGACAATTTCACGTGGACTATTTCAAGGTCGCCCAGGCAAGTATGACATCATACAGACATCACTTAAATGCCGTCACCTCTTTGGTCATGCGGCGTTCAAGATCACGTCAAATAAAGTCGTCGATTTATTTGTGTCTTGCGTGCGTGAGCATGATCCCTGAAAGCACCGGACTTCAATCTTCGGTTCGATGCCAACATTATGCGTTTAGTGCAAGCCTACTCGTGGCTGACGCGTGCCGCCTGCCCGGGTAAGCGAGGCGCCGCGAAGAGCGCAAGATCAAGGGCGTACAAGCTGCCCTTTTATCGTCCAGGGTGTTACCGGACAACGACCCAGGGGTGTGGGCATCAAGGCAGCAAGTGCACACCAACAAGCCCGATACCAGTTTGCATGCGCACCTCCAGCGACCAAACCCGGTTTCTGCTGCGCAAGCGGCGTGGCCTTGGACGGGAGCCAGGTGCTCGGCGGCCGGCGCGCGGCTCGCTTTCACCGGGTTACTCAGGCCGAGGAGAAACGCGGGTGCTGTGGGTGTGGACTCGGACATCCCGCCGTGTTCGACGATCGCAGCCAGGTGGAGTTAGACATAGAGCAGACGTCAATGTAGCCAAGCCTGCATTTGTGTGTGGTGTGTTGAGTATAAATACATATTGCTGGTGTTCCTCGTTATGCGTGGCAAACTACGCCTACGCTTATTTATGAGCGCATCCAAGCATACCAATATATTCGCATTCACGGGTAGCGGTTTGGCCGTGTATCAAAACATTGATAAATAATGCTAACACAAGTTGAATTATAATGTCAGACCCCGTGTCCGATCCCAACCCATCCGATCATCTCGTGCGCATCGCTTCCACGCACATCCCTCCAAAGTGGACCACTCCATACAACCCTCGCAGCGAGTTCGAAGCTGTCCTCAACTTCATCGTCAAATCGCCCGCGCCATTTGCATCGTGACCCTGCGGTGGTGCAGAGAGTGCAGTCACACCATGCCCGTTACACAGCACGAGCGCGGCGGCGAGCTCCCCGCGCTCACCGCGGCGGCGAGCTCCTCGCGCTCACCACGGTGGCGAACTCCGGGTTGTCCTGCATCCGCCAGTCGAAGTATCTGTCGAACAGCTCTCGGGCGGCACCATCGCCGTCGGTGGCAGCGCGTGCCGGGCCGGCCAGGAGAATCACCGCCACCACAGCGGAGGTCCACGGCACAACCATGTCGAGAGCACGCGAGGCGCACTGTCGGCCGTGCCGGGCCCGTCCAGCGAGGTTCGGCCGGCTGCCGCTGGCGGCGCCACCGGCGTCTGCCCCCGCCGGTGGAATGACCTGACGCACGTGACGCCGCAGTGCTGTACCGTTAGGAGAGTCGCAACCCGCGCTCCCGGCGATCTGTGGCTTGGTTATTTGGGTTGGAGCCCTTTCGACTAACATTGATCATCTCAGGGGTACGGGATGAAGGAGACTGGGTAACGATGGGGCAGGACTGCATGCGCCGGGGGGCCAACCACCGAGCTTAGCCCGTGCAGAGACCCTCCACGGGGTATGCGCTGGGCGCCCGGTTGGGTCTCCCTCCAGTGAGCCTCTCGGCCCAGTTGGGGCTGGCGCTGCAGCCCGCCCCGGACAAACGGGGCGTCGGGAGGATGCAGGATGAAACAAAAAGATAAGCGGGGTCGAAAGGTGCGCTGTGATTTTGACGTCAAAAGTGAAACCGATTTGGTGACGCGCTCCTGAGCATAGGGTATGACACCATAGACTGAACGACCGAAAGAGCATGACATTCACATCGTCTTGCAGTGTTGCGGCGAGGCAAAGAACATGACATGCACCGAGCGAGTGTGAAAGCCCGGAATCTCTGCTGCCTTAATGCTTCAGCCCGCCATTCTGTTGACGCACAAACCGCGCACGCCATGCATCACACCATAACATCACATCATGACATGACATCATCATCACATCACACACCGTGCGACCACGCATCTCTTCACAACCGAATCCCGAGAGCGCTCCCCCACTCGCGCTGCCAGTGGAAAAACATCGTTTTGTGACGGCGTTAGCGGGCTTTGACAGGTGGAGCGCCTGAGGGATGACGGGTCGCTGTCGCTTCTTCGTGTCGAACGGCCTGGCGAATGAGGTTTGCTCACTCCGTCAGTGCGTTCACTCTGTCATGTACAAGTACAAGTAGATACAATAAGGTGAAAGTAATTTGGCACCAGGAATGTGTACATTTTTATTAACGGCATCACATGGGTGTATTTAGCATATAAGGTACAATTATAAGCGGAACAAATCACGTACGAAGCGCGCAAATGCCGGCAGTTGCAACCCCAAGCAAACAACTCGCGCCAAAATGGCCGGCTGGCGCCGTTCCCAACAGCGCGTGGCCTTCGCTCATCACAGCTATGTCGACGCTTCAGGCGCCATGAGAAGGACACTCATTTTTACGATCCCGTCATCACTTGTCGTCCATCTGGTCCTGCGGCCAACTGGGTACCCTTATGACTCGTCGGGTCCGCACCAGGCTGCCGCCGCACCTCTGACCTGACCTGACCAGACCCGTGACCGCACCAAGCCGCCCCGTCCCGCATCTGGACCACCTCTGAGCCGACCCCTAAGGTCGCGCCACCTGTTACCTCGTCACGCGCCTCTACAGCGTGACTGCGTGCGCGTGCCGCGGCAGGTGAGGGTCAGCAGCCGGCCGGTCCGATGTCGCCCGGGCCCCCTCGTCGCTGGCCGGCCGCGCCGCACCGCCCCCCGCCGGCCGAATGCTGCAGCTCAGCCGGAAGCGGCGGCCGCCTTCAGATGTCGCCGGCGGCGGGCGGCTCGACTCTGGCTGTGGAGGCTCCTGCTGCAGCGACTGAAGCCGCGGAAATACAGTCCGTCTGGTCGGCCCTCCGGTGCCGGCACTGGTTGACTTTTTGACTGCGGAGAGTCGAGGGTGGCGGGTTAGCAGACCGCGGATCGCCGGTGCTCGTGACAACGCACCGATCCGACCCGACCCGACCCGAACCGTCCCGACCCGACCCGACCCGACCCGACCCGACCAGACCCGACTCGACCCGACCCGACCCGATCCGACCCGCCGCGACGCGGCGCGACACGACGCGACGCGACCCGACCCGATCCGACCCGCCGCGACGCGGCGCGACACGACGCGACGCGACCCGACCCGACCCGACACGACCCGACCCGACCCGACCCGACCCGACCCGACCCGACTAGGCCCGACCCGACCCGATCCGACCCGCCGCGACGCGACGCGATGCGACCCGACCCGACTCAACCCGACCCAACCCGAGTGAGACCACTTGGACCTTCTGATTTGTTCTTGATCTTATTCAGCATACATACCACAATGTGTAGGCGAATGACGTTCGGTCACGTTTGAAATGTTAAAACATCAAATGCCAACGACTAGGCTTGATCTGCCCCAAATTAGATGTTATTGGGATACATTGCACCTGTTCAGGCAAGGATTTCCAGCCACCAGAGCCCGAAACGGTTGGTCTGCGTATTATAGCGGTGAAAATTGGCAGTAAACGGAATTTTTACCCCAAATCCCTTTTCATAAGACCTACATACAGCTTTTACCTAAGTTTGCCCTACTCGACCTTGGCCTTACCGGACTCGGTTACCTTACTTTGTGTTACTTTGTCCTGCATGCACGCGTTTCATATGGCACGCACAATCACATGGGACTGCAATGCGTATAACTTCGTGCACAGACGCATCAATTTTAATAAATGATAAGAAGCCAAGTGGAGAGCCAGGCGACCTCCCCCCTCATTTGCATTTCATAACGGACTTAGCCCAGTTTATATGAACAAACAATATTGTTTATTTCAGATGTTCGGATCACTTCTCAAACGGATCGTAATTTGGGCGACAAAGCAGTCATGCCGGTGAATAATGCCCGATTAAGATAGGCTTTATGTGACAATAATTTTTCTCTACATTTTTGTAACGTTCTAGCAAAGAAAATGTAGAAATAACTTTATTCTGATGGTCTAACTTAACATGGAAGCAGAGCCCTCGAACACCAAAACAAAAATAAAAAGTATTTCGACACAATTGTGCAGAGAAGAACACAGCCATGACAAGCGCTACATCACGGGGCGCACACCCCGCCGTCACCCAGCCGCGGCCCCAGCGTCAGTGGCCTGGCCAGCGGCCTATGCGGCCCCAGCGTCAGTGACCTGGCCAGCGGCCTATGCAGCCCCAGCGTCAGTGACCTGGCCAGCGGCCTATGCAGCCCCAGCGTCAGTGACCTGGCCAGCGGCTTATGCAGCCCCAGCGTCAGTGACCTGGCCAGCGGCCTATGCGGCCCCAGCGTCAGTGACCTGGCCAGCGACCTATGCGGCCCCAGCGTCAGTGACCTGGCCAGCGGCCTGACGCGGCCCCAGCGTCAGTGACCTGGTCAGCGGCCTGACGCCGCCGTCCTCGGAGCCCCTCACTGTAGGCCACGCAGGGGACGCCGGTGTAGGCGTGTGCGGCGTGGTGGCAGCGGTAGGTGCTCTGGTGGCAGTGGAGCGCGTCCGGCCCCGCCCGGCCGGACCGCTGACTCCGGCTGACGTGCGCCAAGTCGGCCGCGGCCCGGCGCCGGACCGGTCCGGCCCGGCCCGGGCTCTGCACCTGCCGCAGCTGGTCTGCGGCGAGGGGGCAGCCGGGTCAGCACGGGGAGGGGGGGGGGACGACAGAGAGTGATGGCACTGGTGACGGCTGATGGAACTCGGACGGCACGGCCACTCCGCCAGTGCAGGGCGGAGGGAGGGATGTGGGCGTGGTGTCACCGGTGGGCTGTCGGACGGCCCGGCCACTTCGCTAGTGCAGGGCGGAGGGAGGGATGTGGGCGTGGCGCCACTGGTGGGCTGGACGAGCCGTAACAGCCAGAGGCAGCTCGGAATGAAACGGCTTTTGGGGCCGAGCAAAAATGTGTGTCGAGAAATATGAGTTGACGGCTTTTATGTTGAGCTAACAACCTTAAATAGACCATGAGGCACTGGTTCACCCGGCGCTGTCATGCTAAAAAACAAATTCATGGACGATTTTCAATATTTTGAGCTGTGCTCACTCTCAAGATTAACCAATAGTCAAAAAAATCGGCAGAATATTACGTTAAAAAACTCGTGAATCCAGAAAGTGCTCCCAATCAGCGCAGACAATGTTACTAATAGAAGCCAAAAAATGTAAGTCAACCAAGCTCTCAGTATCACACACACAGCTCAACGTCAAAGGCTGCAAAAAATAGCACCGCGGGTGGTTAAGCCCAAAGTCATACCGCCTGTGTTGTTATATTTTGTAGTCTTTTGCCTTTAACTGTATACGGGGTGCTGGGGAATTGAATGACTGATCCTTTTAGAGTTAGTTTAGTGACTTAATGTGATTTTTTATGTTTTTACTTAGTAACTTTTCATCAGTTGAAAGCCTAGAACTTTCAGCTCACAATGCCGAGGAACCAAGAGCTGAAGGCCCTTCTTTCTTACATCAAGCGTCGATATATACAGACATGGCATCCCACCCGCAGCCCTAGACAAACTGGGTGTTTAAACACATTTCGCGCATCCTACTCCCGGACGTGAGCTACTGCCTCTTTACGGGAGGAATGGACAAAACTTGGCATAAAACTCACCTACAATGCCATGGACATGCCTTTGGACGGTACACCCCTAAAGGTGTATGCTCTACAGTGTTCACATACGGTACGGACCGTTCAGGTACTGCTCGTAGTCGTTGTAGGTATGTGGACCGGTGTAACGCTCCAGGTGCCACTTGATGACGCTCAGGTTAAAGTTATCAGAGAGTCGCTTGACGAACGCCTTAGAATTGGCTTTCCTGGTGCGCATCTGGACCCGCTTCAGCTCGAGGAGGTCTTGGAGAATCCTCCTCTCCGCCTGGAACCTGTGCCGCGAAAAAGTGGTCGCGGATTGAAACCCCAGCAGCGGCTGAGTCTCGATGGCCTCTGTCCTGGCCGGCTCGTGAGATTATGACAGCGACGTCGGGTGGTGCAGGCGTCGTAAAACCCCTAACGATCATGGGGAGACGAAACCCAACGATTCAGTCAGACGTCGACGCAGCGAGCAGGGGCTTTCAGAGCAACACTGCGGCGCGGGTGTCAAGACCGTGACCACACCGCAGCCATCAGCGCGAGCGTCACGCCACACGAGAGGGGCTCAGCGGCCTCGCGCCTTCACGGACCGGGGAGAGTCACGGCTGAGAGCGGGCGGAGCTCACGAGCGCTCACCTGAGCGGGCTGG